GGGTGAGAGTCCTGAAAGGCTGTCATTGAACAAGAAATCAGCTCCTGTTACAGAAATATTCAGCAAGACACAGCATGACAATTAGTGATGTCAGTTGCCCTGAACCATAAACATTTTGAACTATTTTGGTACAGTGGAAAGTTGTGGGAGGGAGAAAGAACAGGATAAAAATAGCTGACATGGTTCTGAGGAGCATTTTGCCTATAAGCCCCTTCCCTGCACACTGCCTTCCCTCCCTTCTCTTCTCTTCTGCCTGTCCTCAGACTTCTGCATTAATCAGATTAGCTAATGTTAAACAAGGCTCTTCCTAATTACTTTCTATACTGTATACCAGACTAAATTATTGAAAAATGTTTCTACCTAAATTAGCATAAAACAGGATTGATTTTTTTTAAAAAATATTTGCTTTAGTTCTGTCAATCCACACAAGCATCACAGACAACAGCTATCTTCAGCAATGAGAGTCCAGGCAGTGGAGAAGAGGCAGCCACAAAAACCACGCTTTCTACCCACCTATGTCCTGTTTCATGAACACGTTTAAGATGACTTTGCATGATCACTTAAAAAACAGCATCCAACGTCACAATTAACCTGCTTTCTTTCTGATCTTGCTATGAAATATTTAAGGAATAGATAAGAAATTTTTCAAAAATTTCTAAGTGCTGGATGTAAAAATATATAGTACCATCCAGGATACCAACACAAACTTGCTAATTTATCTAACCGAAACAATCATTATCACACTATCACTGAAAACAAATTACTACAGTCTTGAAAAGTACCTGTAAAAATTCCACTTTGTTAGTAATGCCAATGGCATACCTACCCGAAAAGAGTGGGGTTGGTTGTTTTATTTTTTTGGTTTGCATCCAAATCAATCCCTGCACATTGCTGTAAGAAGGGAGGCTCTTACAAGAAAATGGAATTTTACGTTATCTATTCCCACGCTCATCCTGGACCATGTGTACATATAAACCATACTGACATCACAACTCTGTAGCCCGCATCATTCTTCTTGCCTGACACCATATCACCAATTGTAAGTCAACTATCCCAGGGGGACTCGGTTTCACTGGAGACTTAAAAAGAAACGCACTGACTATGGCATGAGTAGTCGTCTCTGAAAATCGCCTGCGCAGGACCCAAAGTGCCACGGCACAGCAAACGCTGCAGTTCTGAGCCACACTCAAGCGTCTGAATTGGGACTCAAGCACTGGCGCAGGTAGTCAACACTGTGTCCTGAAGTTATCAGCACACAGCTCTGAAGAACACATATGGCCAGCCCAGTTATCTGCTGGGACCAAAGAGGGGAGATCTCTCATGTACCCGAGTCTGCCTTCCACTTGTGCCGCTTGAGGCCAGTAAAAAGCACACCTCTGCAAGGAAGCTAACAGTAATCAGCTGTTTCACAAAAAATTTGAACAATTAATTAAATAATGTTAAAAGGTAGAAAGATATTCCAAGTTTTTACATTGTACTTTTTTCCCATTCCCCTTCTACCTCTCTACAGAGTCACCAACTTGTACAAAACAAAACAGAAAACAGAAAAACTGAATCCATTTTGGGTTTTTCCCTCCCTAACCATGGGCTAAATAATTACACAGTTCGTTACAGGAGAGGGGGAAAATGATATTAACATATTTCAAAAACATCTGAAGTGAAATGAAAGCCCTAATTAAACACTGTGCTAAGGAATACACATAACTTCATCTCAGCTACGCTAAGATTAATTTAAAGGTGAGATGACACTTTTCTAATGGTGTGGGTTTTTTTTTTTATCATTACAAGTGTGTAGTCTTGGTCCCATCCCTGAAGTGTTAAACACAGTTTACTAACCCATATGATGAAAGATACAAGCATCTCCAGAGTTCTTCATAGCTGAATCACTAATAATTTAAAAGAGTAATAAACCCAACAGTAGCTTTCATAAAAAATTAATTAGAAAGGCTGAGAGCACATCTGTTGCTTTTGTTACATTCCCCCCCCCCCTTTCTGGTTCAGTTGTCTTTCCCCATGCTCTTTTAAACTCTTCTCAGGTTCTCAGGGCTGCTGCTTCTTCTCGTGAAGCCTTTTTGCTTCCTCACACTTCCCTCCTTGTTTCCTCCCCGTACTGATTTTTCCTGTGGCAGCTATTACTAGTGTGTGACAGAGACACTATTTGGCACCCAGGAGCTAGGGAGACTTGGACCTACTAACTAATGAAAACAACTTGCATGTTAAAAGCTTCAACAGAATGAGTTACTTATAAGTACATACAACTCACGTAAATAATGTACAACAAATTTGCTATGGAGGAGAATCATACCGATTAAGTATCGTACTGGAACAACTGAGCTTTGTAATTCACAACCAGGAGAGAGACAGAAATGGAGGGCAATTTAGAGAGAAGATGGGCACTCTCTCCCTCGTCCACTGTGAACTTCTACAAGTCCTTGGCAGCCTGCGGAGGGCTAGGAAGGAACGGTGATGATGATGGTTCCCAGTTATGCCTGGCCTAAAATGGAGTAGGCTGTTCATAACGCCAGGCTACGCACAAGCAAGATACCCTTTGATCTCATCACCAGGCCATTTATAGGACTGATAAGAAGAAAAATTACTTCATCCAAATTTTAGTATTGATTCATCAAGTTTAGTATTGATTCGTCTTCCGTATAGACTATAGAAAACTCAATCAGCAGTGTTTCAGGTGGCCAGGTGTAAAAGTGGTATTTGATACCCTTTGTCCTACACTTACTCTGAAATAGATGGTAAACCGTTACAGTAATGTGGGATTCATCTCATTTAACTTCAAATGACAACAACATAAGTACTAATGAGTGAGCTGTCACTCTGTATCGGCTGGCATTGCACCTCTGCATTCAACCACATCTTTAAGCTCCCTTTTCTTGTCTACCACCAGCAAAGCCAACAAAGCTCAGCTGTGGATGCCTATGTTCAAAGAAATCCCACCACAGCTGTCACCAACAAGTCACCATTTTTGGCCTAAATGAGGTCCCACGTGGTTCCTTCTTTCAGCATCACTGCGCTCACATTTTCTAAAGCACTAATAACCGATTTCTGCAATAAGGAAACTTCAGTTGGACTTAGTATTTACCTAGGCTCCTAGCTAGTACCTGTGCTCTTACGCTGCCTGAGCTCTTTACAGAATAGGATGAGTTTATGTTTTACAGAACAAAACTGGAAGAAAAGCAAGATGAAGCAACACACATAAGGTCAGATAAGGTATCTGAAGTATATTCAAGAAGAGAAATAAGAGAACCAGTCTGGCATCTAAAGAAAGTTTTTGTGATTTCTCATTTCTCTCTAACTGGTTGTAAAAGGAGATAACCCAGAATGAAAAGACACATTAAAAAAAAACTCCACTACAAAACAGTAATCACTCCCATCTAGTAACAGCTTAGCAAAATGAAGTTAGGCTATTAATTCCCAAGCCCAAAATATTTCATGTATGACAACAAATTTTTCCTCCTTTCATAACAGTTTTATAGTATATGTAGAAAATAAACCTCAGGAAAAAAAAGCAATTAAAATTATGCACAATTTCTGCACGTACCCAGTTGCAGGAGGAGGGATGAGGTTATGTTATACTTTTTTAAAAGCATACACTGAACAAATCATAAAAATATGTTTCACTGCTAAGTCACAGGAAGTTACCTATACTTTAAAATAAACTGCCATAGATGCTGAACAAAAGGTTTGGCAATTCTTCCCTACAGAGGCACCCATCTATTTACATCTCGGAGAGCTGCCAACAGAACAGCTACCAAAAACTTCAAAAGGTTCACAGTATGAATAGCAAGCCGCTGGCCAAAGGATTTTATATGACCAGCTGTGTAACACCATATTGAATTATAGACACACCACCCCCAAAAAACGCAAAGAAGGGACATTAAACTTGTTAAAAAGCTGAAAAAGAAACCTGAACTCCTTAAACTAATGTTTTCTACAGGACGGTATTTTTAACAGGAAAAAAAGCCCAAAAACAAAACCATAAAGTACTGCAATACTGCACTTCTTTAAGAGCAACTCTAAGCGATTCCTCTCACCAAGCCTGCTTTAAGCCCAGTGAACTTCTCTAGTTTAAGTCGCAGCCAGAGCTCAGCTGCTTTGTGATCAGAACACTCTGCTTTAATAAATGGCTCCCCTAAACTTGCTTGGGGAGAGAAGAGACATGAGTCAACAGAGGGAGGGATAATGTTTCTGTTGACAAACATTTAACAATTGGCAACAGATAGCAGGAAACGGGGACAAACGAAAGTTTGCCAAATAAAGTTACACTGGAGGAACAAGGCTCCTTTTTGGAGCAGCACTGCCATTCTTCATAGATCCCAGAAAAATATCTGAACGCACTTAAACCAAAAGCTGCAGTTGTTGAAGAGCTAGGCTGCTAATCCTAATATTTGTGGCGACATTTTTCCCTGCAAACCAGAACGGGTCAGAACTCCTCCGAATCAAATTACTGCACGTCCTTTGCCAAAGAGTCTGGTTTTGGTCTCAGTAGTCATACACGTCTCAGTGTTCACACAAGTCCCTCTGAGCTACATGAGCAATTTTTTCCCCTCATCTTATGACATTTCTGTAGAAAACATGCCAAAGCATATGTAGCGTCTTGGTCAGACTCCTTATTCAGGAAAGCCAGGACCTTCACCATCTGCTTACGTCCTGGAAATTTAGTTCTCAGGGAGCACAAACAAAATTTGACTGCAGTATTATGGGTGGACAAATGTTTCTCTCCAAGCAGCTATTGCTATTCCAACTTCCACCCTCCCAGATTGCTACACAAGATCCAGCGGGAGCCAAGAGCAGCCTCCCTCCTCCAGACACGAGAGGGGCCGAGCAGGAGGAGGCACCGGGCCGGGCTTCCAGCTCTGCTCCGGCTCCTCTCGGGGCCGTACGTGCGCTCGGGGGGGAGCCCCCGTTCACGCAGACGCGCTCGCCCACGGGAGCCCCGCGGGGCAGCCGCCCTGCCCGCCCGCCGCCACCGGCGGACCCGTCCTTACCGCAGCACTTTGCCCACCGCCTGCAGGACCATTTTGCAGCTTAATCCGGGTTTGGGACTCTGGGCGAGGACGGGCCGTTCACTGGGGAGGCTGCAGTGATCCCCAACCATGGTACGGCGGGAGGAGCGCGGCGCGGCCGAGCACAGCGGAGCGGGGAAGCGCCGGGGCGCCGGTGGGCACGGCACTGCCCGGGCTCTC